CTCTGAACTACGTGAATGAGGTCAGTCCTGTGAGGTCAGTCTTGTATCAAAGTCTTCCCTGCGCTCTTCAGCATCTTTATGTATGAATGAGAATGTACATTGCTTGTCGAGATTCTACTTGTACCGCATTGTCTATTCAGTCCTTTTTATCACATTGCAGATTCTCGGTTTATTACGTACATTTCATATCTGTGCATGTAACAGTACACACGCAAGAACCTAAACCTTCATCTCCACTTCCTTGGTTGCGGCTGCATCTGCAACGACCCTATGTGGGCACCAGGTGGAAGTTCGATCAGTAACTGAAAGGAGAGAAGTGAGGTTGGGGCTAAAAGGATAGCACTTGGAGTGCCGACCGTGAGGGGGAATACTCGGATATGTTTCCTGTCCATTCGTCCATTTTCTTGATGGGAATACTCGGCTATGTTTCCTGTCCATTCTATGTGAAAGAATTCACACATCTCAGAAGTTCCTCCCCTGGTACCCCAGTACCACATCCAATTTACTTTTGTATCACAGGGCCGGTCCAATTTACTTATGTATCATAGGGCCGCACTTTGAACTCTCCCGTACCGTATGGAGAGATCTGATAGGATAAGGCCTTCAGAAGCAGTGGAAGTCCAGCGGTCAGTAGGTAGGCAGTCGCCGTGTGTCCAGTCCTGGTCAAGTCGCAGCAAGTCCCAGGAAAGGCCGAGGGACAGTTAGCCAAACACTCAACAGGACGGACAGCCCGGCCAGTGTGGAAGCACCTCGCATGCACAAGAGGGAGGTCACAGTCAGGAACCTCCTCTTCGATTCTCGCTCATGCACAAGTGCTGCTGTGTTATTGTGCACTAACATCTTGGACACATGCGCAGTACCTGCAAAGAGGCAGTTGACGGCACTGGGGGCCGTCGCTATAGGAGAGCAGGGACGACATTCAGAGACAGATCACGACACCTGTGCACAGTAGTATGTAGCTAAGTGGTTGTTGGCGGCCATAGCCGCAGAGCTCGAGAAACCTGTGTATATCATCTCAAGCTGTAAATAAGTTCCGAGTAATGCTCGTATCATGTGTCATCTTCCTAGTTTGGTGTTGCTATTGAGTGCAACGCCTGCATAAAGTTTGAAGCAACAAAGGCAAGAAAACAAAATCTTTTCAACGAGTTCAGGACATTTTCAGATGCAGTTTAATTGGCTATTTGAGGAGGAGGGAAGGAGGGATAAGAACCTGATATGAGACAGAAGAGAGGGGAAAGACATTGCCTACAACTTGTGTGATTCTCCTCTTTCTTCCACCCTCTTCATTCCATTCCGCTCTTTATACCCTTTGCACTTCTTTTGACTTTCGGCAAGTCTTGCATTTTGTCGCATTTGAGTTTCGCAATTGATGACGCTGTAGGATCATAACATGCCCCTTTTCTACTCACTCACACCCTCTGACCCACGCCATGTGAGCAAGCCACCATCATTCCCATGTCCAGAAGGCATACATGAACCTACAAATGTACCGACTGTTTAAACCAAAAACCATTGTAAGCAATACGAGCAAAGATACATGAGTGTTGGGCAGGACTCTGTCATTACCAACAAGAGTCTGGACGTATTCAGAATCTTCCGCGACATTGAAGAGGGAGCCTGCTCCTAAAGCATAGGTCAGTGATTCATTCAGCACTCCAAGATGGTAAAACACCTGGCAAGTATCGACCAGGCAACATGACATGTCGAAGCAAGAAGCATGGAAAAAGTGTCACTGAAATAAACCAGCAGAATCGTCCAGACCTTGTTCATTAACAACACCACATCAGCCTCCACCTCTTCAGGACAAAAAGTTGCTTTGAAGGACCACATGAATAGGATTGCCCTGCCATGGCAGTCACAAATTAGCGGCAGTTGAGAACTGCAGTTTGTATTTGTGATTACTTCACCCTCGTTCAGAAGGCAGAGGATGGGCTAGTGAAAATGACAGGACCAAGTACAAAACAGGAGACAATACGAACTAGTACAGAAACCTAAAATACGAACTAGTACAAAAACCTAAAATACGAACTAGAGTCTAGGCTACCAGAGTGGCCCAGGGTCACTTTCCCGGCCAGGCCACAGACATTTAAAAAAATAAAAAATAATAAATATTTTTAAATTTTATTTTTTATTTTAAATTTGGTGAAGAATTTGTATGTGACTCTGAGGCAAAAGTTGTTCAGTTTATTTTTCTGCATAACATAGTTTTCTTGTGCATTTTTTGGATTTCTTTTTTTGTTTTGCTGGGTCCTTTCCATTCAGTCTTCCCCCGAATACAACGTACGGTCATTATAGCTGAATTTAGACAGAAAGATGGACCAAATTCGTCTACAATGACCGTGCGTTGTATTCGGGGGAAGACTGTAGTCCTTGCACGGGCTGGCCACCTGGGACCCGGGCGGCCCGGCTGGTAGCCTAGGAACTAATACAAAAACCTAAAATACGAACTAGTACAAAAACCTAAAATACGCAAACACAAAAAGCAGCTGAAGCGGTGGTAACTGAACGGCAACACGGTACCACACAACAGCCGGCAACAAAAACTAGATCAAACAAAATGGGGGCATCAAGAGGTAAAGGTCTGAAACAAACAAGAGAGCCAAAAAAAAACGAAGTTGATAGAAAGGGGACAGGGCAAGCAAGTATGAGGATCCAAATGCTGCAACGAGAACCTACATACGGTACAGATCTGGCCGTGGTTGGTTCAATCTCTGGACCTCATGTTGGGTACCAAACACTTGAATTTTTCTCGCATGGCTGCAGTACCTGCACATTTTAATTTCTGTGCATTGGACATTTTCCCCAATACCTTCCCGGTACATACTTATTCCGTACATATCTTGCGACCAGCCTAGATGTTAGGCTGTCCACAGGTACTTGTAGTCCCACACACTGGCGGGACGTCTGGTCATGTACTCTGTTTCTGACCTTGGGACTCAACATTAAGTACCTGCTGGTACTCTTCTCAGAGTTTCTGGCACCGTACCAGTCGAGTTCTGCATTGAACAATGGTCCTAAGTGTGTGTGTTCACTCCCTCTCACCCCTCCTGCTCCTTGAACCCATCACTCATCACACCGGTATCGGAGTGGTAACGACCCACCCTCCCACCCGTACATTGTTCAAGACCCCTGCCAAGTGGCAGGGTTGCAAACGATTCCTCTTTTTTCTGAAGGGATCTTCCCGGTCGTCACTGCAGTGTGCTGCTGACTACATCATATGCAACCCTTGCCATTGTCATCAAGGTCATGATTGGCTGTTACGAGCAGGTTTCCGACTTCAGCATTCTTCACTGACAAGTTGTTGTCATCGTAATCCACATCGGCATTGTTACCCTCGCTGCTGGCCACTGCCATCACATCATCTACATCATCGCCACCGTGTGGTCAGCATTTTGTATTCACTACATCATCTATCAGCGACATATCACTGCTGCAGATGCCCAGGTAAACTCTCCCCTTCAACGCAACCCCAATCTCAAATCCTCCAAAATCTCCCCTGCTCTCAGTTCTCYCCYCCCCCCCCCCCCCMYCMCCCAAAACGCGTAGTAGCACACAGGTATCACATTTTAGCCTCCCCGATCTTTCCCCCCCTCTCCCTTAATCCAGCAAGTTATGTTCCTTTATATCTCCTTCGTTTCTTGATGGTCTTTCTCATGCATAGTGACCACCCCTAGGTTCCACTTCCAATTCCAACCAATACTTTACAATCGAAGCTTTCTTGGCATATAAACTCAGAGACCACTCAAATCTAGTTTTTAGCGGTCAAAGGACGATCAGTAGAGTTGATTTGTACACTGTCACACCCTGCACCCCAGTTAGCAAAATTAGTCTTCATCGAAGGTTTGATGCTTAACTAGTTTTCTCATCAAGATCCCACCCCAAAATCCCTAGACTTATCATCTTCGCCCCCCCTCGACTATTAAAGGTTTCTTAGGTTTCTTTCGAACACAACGCCCCCTTGCATAAATATTTGTGATTTGAAATTTCTTTCGAGTTTTTTTTTAATTCACTTCCCTATGTAGGTTCATTTTCTCACCCATGCAAGTAACCATCCACTGAGAACAATTTCTTTTCGAGATGTGAAAGCTCATAAAAGGCCATGCATGACTGTGCCGGGTTGAAAACAGAATTACAAAAGCCGAGAGCACGCCAAGTAAGAACACACTGTCCAGTAATAAAGACATCCCTCTTTGCACCTACAATAAACAACATAACAACAATGTAGTAGCCCAGACATGATGTGACCACCTATAATACTCTCCCATTCTACCTACAAACACCAGCGCACTCCATCTCACTGTCTCTATCCACAATCCCCTCACCAGATGATGCTTCAAAGTCAGATCACTTCAGTGCTGCACGACCATCACCAGGTCAGTATCACAAGTTCCCATTGCTGTCCCTGCTTACCCGATTACCTTACACGTAGCACCACCCTCCCTCCTGTCAAAGCAATAGTTGGAAGCGTGCTTAACTCGAACAACAGCGTTATGACAAAGCAATGGTGAAGGCCATCGGGAATGAGCAATTGTCGAATTGTGCAGCGAAAAGAAACACATCGAGCATGCATGCATGATGGCACCAAGGGCACAGAGAATCGGACTACTCACCCTGTTGCATTTGAAAACAGTATTTGGGGTGCTAACTGATTTTACCTTAGACGCAAAACTTTACCTTAGACGCAAGCAGAGCGGCCAGCTCTCGTTGTTGAAATGTGTCATCCTCGTATAAGCTCTCGCTGCACACAAGTATCAACAGCCATCCAGTTCAACACTGAGTCAATTCACAACAACAAAAAGGAAGCGGACATACCAAACCAACCCCAGATCTGTTGTTCTAGCTGGACAGTCTCATGCCTCGGCATTTTTTTTTATTTTTTTTTTCTAGCATTGGAGGTTTTCGCTCATCATCCAGGTTAAGTACCACTGTCAAATATGCGCACCAATGGAGTCGCCTGTATTCGTAGATACAGGAAAGTGTACGACCTACAGAACAGATCCTGTTTTTTTTTCATGAGGTAGGGACTCCAAAAAACCCTGTCAAATATGCGCACCAATGCCAAGCCTCGTCTGGCTTTTACACCCCCCCAGCAAGCCCACTGGTTAAGTACCACTTTCTCTCCCTGATGGAGACTCTAATCATTACTAGTATGCGTAACGTGCATCCCCGGACTGCGAATTCGGGGCTTTTCTTTCGCCAACGTATATGCTAACGTATATTAAGAGACATTGGTGATCGTTGCCCCCAACTTGCAATTTAAGTAAGAAAAACGGACTACACCCCCACCCCCCAAACACGGGTTCTGGCTCTGAACCACGTGCACGATCTTCTCTGATTATTTCGAAATGAGAAAAAGAGTTCAACCTCACAACCACGTGCACGATCTTTTTTTTTTTTTTTTTTTGGTATAAACCAATCAATTGAATTATGAAAACGTGCACGATCTTCTCTGATATGTCCGCCTTTTTTTTTTTAAGAAACGATTCGACACATTTCCACATTTACCCATCTCCACCGTCGCCCTTAATGTGATCAGTCTACCTCAATCACTTGTCTAACTCGATGAATGCAACACGGACCGAAAAGCTGGTTTTTTTTTTGTTTTTTTTTTTTTTTTTGGGGGGGGGGGAGAGGAGGGGTCACGAGGGAGGGACACGACAGTCGTGCCACTGAGAACGAAGTTGCATCGTTGAACGCAGCGGACTAAGCCTACAGAGACTGCAGAGGCTTCAATAAGGACGAAAGAAAAAAAAGGAGAACGGCAACACCCTTGTCCGCATGAAAGGGAAAGCATGCCTTGCATGCTGACAAGAAGAAGAGGTGATGAAATAGAACAGAAAATGAATGACGTCTGCCTGTCCACTTTCTTTATTATCAGAAATCCTCCCTTTTTTTGACTTCTCTCTGCCAGCTCAACAAATCTTGAGCTAGGCCGTTCTGTCTCCCTGCCAAGTCGCGGGACATGTTCCTCGTCTGAAGACAAAAGTATCTGCACTGCCACCTCTTCTGTGAGCGAATCAAAATGTTGCTCGTTCTCTTTTTTGTCCTTAACTTCTTCCCAACCCCCTTTCCACAAAAAAAAAAAAAAGAAGAAAAAAACCCTTTCGACATTCTCGCCGTAACTTATAAAAATTTCGTCTCCCACAGTTGTTCCTCGTGTAAGTCACATCCACATAAACGTGGCTTGCCTATCACTGTCTCTCTCATCTCTCTCACTCTTCCACCCGTTGTCCTCCTTCAGCTCCATTTTTCTAGTGATAGACCAGACGCGAAGCGCCTGTGTCTGTCTTGCCTATCACTGTCTCTCTCTCTCTCTCTCTCTCTCTCTCTCTCTCTCTCTCTCTCTCTTTTCCACCCTTTGTCCTCCTACAGCTCCCTTTTTTGTAGGGATAGACCAAACGTGAAGCGCCTATCACTGCCTCTCTCATTCTTCCATCAGCTCCATTTTCCTAGGGATAGACCAGACGTGAAGCGCCTGTGTCCTGGCTTGCCTATCACTATCTCTCTCATTCTTCCACCCTTTCTCCTCCTTCACCTCCATTTTTTTTTAGGGATAGACCAGACGCGCGAGCCGTTTATGTCTCACCTACCTTCCCGACGGGATAATTTCGTTTCTCGCTGCCCCGTCCTCGAACACCCTCCAAATTCTTTGTGGTACATACCCTTCTCTCTCCCTCAGAGAATCCAATAGCGTCTCCTTCTCCTTCTCCTTCCCTCCACTTCTCTCTTAACCCTTCCCCTTCACCCTCCAATTTTTTTTATTTTTATTTTTTTCGATCATCATTTACTTCACACATTTCCCTTCCGTGCCATGCGCTCTCCACATCCTTGTGCGCTAAATTAAGTACTCTCCTCTGTCAAAGTATCGAAGTGTGTGTCGGCCGTATTCTCGACGCCCGTCACTTCTCGTACACTGCCTTCTTTATCGTACACATTGCCTTGCCGCCTACTCCTCCTAGCCATGGCTTCGAATAAACAACCCCATTGATCACCATCCCGTCTTGATGCATTGACGATGTCGTTGGCACTTTATATCTCGCTTCCAAAAACAAATCAAAAGGCGTCGCTCATCCGTTTCGTTTCGCCCCCTTCCCCTTCAACCTTTACCTTCCCGCTGTGGTTCGTTCGAATCAGACTCCCATTCTCCGCCGTCCTTGTGCGATCCATCAGTTGTGCAAACCCCCGACAGGCTGCCAGATCAACGACCCATTTCGCCCGCATCATCACCACCATAACCCTCATGTGAACCGCTCACAGTGACATTTTTTCCTGATGAAAAGAGGGGGAGTGAGAGAGAGAGAAATATACCAGCACGGATAACATGCCCAGAGAAGCCCTAATCCCTGCCAAGCCAGCGCGTGATACACCCGATAGATTGAAGCGCTTGTCTGGACAGAAAGGCAGACTAACCGTCATTGTCTATTGTCACATTTCGCACCTCGAGAAAATGGAGCCGAGGCGCGAGGACGCCATCTTCCACAGAGCTTCCCTCCATTATTCCCGCCATCCTTCTGCCACTACGCCTAACTCTCTCTCACTCTTTCTCTCTCTCCGCGTGCGCATGAACGCCCTCCAATACCGCTCTCTCTCTCTCTCTCTCTCTCCGCGTGCGCATGNCTCTCTCTCTCTCTCTCTCTCTCCGCGTGCGCATGAACGCCCTCCAACACCGTTCTCTCTCTCTCTCTCTCTCTCTCTCTCTCTCTCTCTCTCTCTCCGCGTGCGCATGAACGCCCTCCAATACCGTTCTCGATCAATAAACTGACAACCGACCAAGCAATCGGCCACCCACTGCGAAACAGTAACAAACGGGGACCCTTGCAGCACACGTTGGACTGCCGGCTACCTTCTTCCCCCGAATACAACGTACGGTCATCATAGCTGTATTTAGACTGAAAGATACCCTGACCGTACGTTGTATTCGGAGGAAGACTGTAGCCTTTACGGCCTCTTACTGAAACCCAGCACTTCAATCAGCAGTGACGGGTGTGTTTTGCTAGCGAATGCCCGGCCGGGTACTTAAGGCTATTGCGGTGCTACATCCGGACCACTCGAGGTACACATTTACATAAATAAACACCGTCCACGGCCGCCGAATGCCCCAGGACCTGCGACATGGAGGGTGAGGATAAGCCGTGACATGACACCCACATGAAATGCGTGTCACCCACACAGGGAACCAAATCAATCATCCAACAATCAGTCCACACCCATCCATCGACCAATCGAGTACTCAACGGGATTCCATTGACAATGAACTCCCAATCCCAAGAAACAGAGGGAACACGAGGCTATATCTCGCCGTTCACGAAAGGTACGCATCCATGGCTTGGTCATTCGGACTCTGCCCCCTCGCGCTTTCAAAAAGCAAGAGGCAGTGCGAAGAGAAAATAACGCTCCTACCTTGTCTTTCCCGATTACAGCCACCCCTCATGTCTAGAAAACACAACACATTTCCCAAATTTTTCTCTCGTTACGTCTGCGCGCTTGTCAGAATCGCACCCCGTCAGGTTGATGCTTTGGAACGCCGTTTCTACCCCCCACCAATCCCACGGGTCATCCACCTTTATATTCACTCCCATCCCCTTCCGCCTTCCCCCTCCCAACGGTCATCACCTTTGCTCACTCCCATTCCCCTCCGCCYCCSCCCGCCTCTACTTTTCCCSCCCCCYCCCCCCCCCCTTTCTTGCAGGTACCCCTTCTCAACTCCCTTGCCTGCGCAAACCACCATATCCTAGACAACAGGACCCACCTATGCGTTGTCTGTTTCCTCTCCTCGTTTCATTTTTACCCCATTCGCCATTTTATACCCCTACCGCACTCTTCCTCAAAACCCACCCCTACCGAATCTGGAAAACCCCATAGAAACCCTATCCCGCTTTTGAATCAGCGAGATTTCTACCAGCATGGCGAATAAATAGCCTGCGCACGCGGCTTCGAGGACTACCGATCAAACCCTGTTGCATGATGATATGATACGGGTAAGGGGTTTTGTCCGCCTTCGTTGAAAGTTCAACAAAGCCCGCCCCTACCGTCTTCACCCGAATATAACGCCCGGTCATTATAGCTGTATTTGAGGCAATTTTCAGTCCAGATGCAGCGATAATGACCGGGCGTTCTATTCGGGTGAAGACGGTAGTACCATTTGCGTTCGCGCCAAAGAAAGGAGAAACGAGAAGAAGAGGATAGTTAGTCATCATCATATGCATATACTAGTAAAAGAGATCTTGACGGGCTCCGACCGAGTGACGCAAACAAAATTATGATACTGAATGCGTCGGTGCGGACAATCAGCAGGGAAGTCATGTGTTGATACATGCGCTGCGCCCCTCAACGACTACACGCCAGACATCCCAAGCACACATACGAGCGCAGCCCGCTCGCACCGCACGAAAAAATTTTCAGCGTCGTCCTTCAAGAAGCTAATACTACCTAGTATATTCCGCTGAAAAACGCATGGCCATGACATTGCTGTATCCGCGGCCCTAACGCTGGCTCCATTACAATTAGAACCATCCTTGATGACATCGCAAACATGTGCATGATTGATCTATCCTCACGAAGAACGAGGCCAGCGTACTCGGCAGAGAAATCGCCGGTATGCACCCAGTAAACAAAATCGGATTAAGTAGTTGAAAGGAAGGTAAGGTTGGAAAAACGATGTCTGACGAGTGACTCCTCCACCGCAGCGCAGGAAATAAGCCTCTGCCCTTCACTGACAAGGGCATACGAGCAAAGAAGAAGAACTGAAATGAACTGAAATAGCGAGGCCGATCGCTATGCGTCCATGTCTCGATGATGTCAATGAAGCACCTACACGGACTGTCTGCTCAACGCGCACATTCCCCGACGCGTTTCGCCTGGCTGCGCACCGGCGGAAGAGAGCAGCAAAAGCACAAGCAGCAAGGGAGCGGGACGGCGAAGCCAGGTCATGCGCGAAGTTAGCGAAATGTATCGACTCGCAGAGAAGGTAATACAAACAATCACTTTGACTGGAGGCGCCCGGCGGGCGGGACACAGGGAAAAGGACAAAGGAAGGAAAAGCACCCAGAAAATCGCCAATGCCCGCGGAAGAAAGAAGAGCCAACACGAGCACCCGAAGGCAAGGAAGCATAAGAGGCGAAAAAGGTATTGTGGCCATCCTGAGAGGCAAAGACGACAGGCCAAACTCCGACGGAAGGGAAAGATACCTGCCACGGCGTGAAGGCTGAGCATCTGCAGAGCGAGGTAMCCTACCCTCACCACTGGCCGCGCTCTTGACAGAAVCAGAACCAGAACCGGAACCAGAGCCAGGAGAAGGAAGGCTCCGCCCTCCGCATTGTGGCCATCCTGAGAGGCAAAGACGACAGGCCAAACTCCGGCGGAAGGGAAAGATACCTGCCACGGCGTGAAGGCTGAGCATCTGCAGAGCGAGGTATCCTACCCTCACTACTGGCCGCGCTCTTGACAGAACCAGAACCAGAACCGGAACCAGAACGAGGAGAAGGAACGCTCCGCCCTCCGATCGCACGGAATGAGATAGATTCAGACATTCTTCCCCAGTGAGCTTCAGATCTTACCCCCGAGTTATCTAGGTCATGGACCTGATGCAGGTAAGACATCTTAGACAACAAGCACACGACACTAGGGACTAACGATGCATACAACGGACGGAAAAGGCTTTGCGAGAGTCGAACCGAGTGCGGAATCCGGCATCATCATGACTATATGAGAGAGGAGAGAGAGACGAGACACTAGCAGTGCATTTGGGCGGGAAAGCGGCAAATAAACGGAAGAGAAAGAAGAGAAAAGAAAAGAAATGAGGGACGGCTGCACCCTACACGACACGGCCACAGACAGGAGATTTGACCAATCAGAAGGGGCATGAGCTCAACTCTTGGCACCTGGTTCCAGCACGAAAGCGAAGTTAGGGAGATTTCGCTGACGCCCTCACAAGGACAAGGGGATGCGCCCGATACAGGATAACACCGATTAGAGAGATACAAACAAAGTGGGGGAGGGAGGGAGGGGTTCAAGAGCGCCAGCGGGGAGAGACCGGGGGACGGGGGAGGGGGGGTGGAAGGGGGGGGAGGAGGCGGGGACCAAGGGCAAAAAAAGTGAGAGAGACTAGATTTGCGCGCGAGTAGAGACTCGGGAAGAGAGACGCAAAAGAAAGCAACGACGAGTTCGCTCGAGGCATTTCATCATCCTTATGCGTGAAGACAGCAACTTCAACTAAAGAGCACAGATAATCCGAGAAGAGGAGGGAGGAGGTCAGACGAAGGAGATAAAGACAGCGAGCAACGAGGAAGTGAAATAGAGGCGACGCAGGCCTGCATACACGAAACCAAGAAATGCATAGGCGAGGGTAGAGCGCAGCCAAGGGCCACAAAGGAAGAAGGGAGGATAGGGAGGGACAAGGGCAACTGCCGAGAGACGAAATGAAATTAGACGCGTAGACTCCAAAGAGCAACAACACAAATAGAGACGCACAAGGAATCGGCGCGTGCTACTGAACAGCAGGCGAGAGAGGGAGGGAGGGAGGGAGGAAGGACGGACGGCGACTGCCAAGAGACGGATACTTCTCCTTTTCTTCTTTTTCTGTCACGGAAGGACGCCAGTGCAGAAGTGGAGCGACGGGGGAAATACTGTAATTTGATGGGAGCCATTGTAGTATGCACAAGAGGAGCCGGAAGATAATGTGGAGGAGAGAGAGCGAGAAGAAGACGAACAAGCCGGGGTAAAGGGGAGAGTGGGGGCAAGACATAGCGGCACTACAGATGTACGGCCCGAAGCGTATGTTCTCAGTTGCTCTGCGGGCAAGGCGACCGAGATTTGGCGGAAGAGATCCCGGAGTTTCCCAAGAATACAGCGATGACTACACACCTACCCACTCGCCCACCCACCCGCCCACCCGAGCCCCTCCCTCCTCAACTGCACTGTTGTATTTTTTTTTTTTTCTCTCCGCGCCCTAGCATGATTGCCAACAACCGGAGTTCTCCGCCTCTCCGCGCCTCTCCGCGCCCTAGCATGCAAGGCAATTTCGACTTTCGACATTCTAAATCATTCAGTCAAACGGGAAACCGGACGGCCATCAACAGATCCAAGGGAGTGCGACATTCAGACAGGCACCAGCGACAGGCGCTAAGCATCAGCATATTCAAATCCACATAAGATCGCTGCTGTCAATTCCCATTGCCGTTCATGGCGCAATGATGGCGCACGTAGCCGCGAGCAGAAGGCCGAAACGTACACTAAACATGCTCCACAGTACGGACTTCTGCTTAGTAATTCATCCTTCTCTCTCTCTCTCTCTCTCTCTCTCTCTCTCTCTCTCTCTCTCTCTCTCTCTCTCT